TTTATTCACTAATTATACCAATCTTGCCGAGACTCACCTTGTACTTTCTCATCCTGCTAGTACACAATTTTTTTCCGAAAGTAATTACAACAAATCATCGGGCCGCCAAGAGATATGCCCGCACCAGATGCGTATAAACTGTTACATCATTTAAGCTTCAATTTCCGCTTCTCTTTCCAATATAAAATGAAATTCGTTATCAAAGTCAACACTTAAATTGCATTTACGGAGAGTTATTGCACATGCAGCGATCCGGCGAAAAAATGTGGTAATTACTATCTATTACTACTGTAAACAACATCGACGGTTTTCTCATTAGATGCGAGGTAGGAACAAGCGTTTTTAGTATTTCTGTTGAAATGTGTTATTATTAAATACTTCTGACCAGTGATATGTATTATCATAAATTTTTATGTGCGATTCAATTTGGATCAAGGTCCCCCGTCGCGTAGCTTCATCGGACCAGAACCTGTCATTGGCATTGCTTTAGGCTTTGCCAAACAAACATTGAACACCTGGATGGCAAAAAGATTCAAATACTTCTTCCAGGATTGGCCGACTCCAAAGTGTTCATTCACCCTTCGGAGCTTGAAACCAAACAGTTGTTGGACTACAGTAGGGATGAACTACGATGTCTAACAGACGTCTTTACAGGTCACTGTCGTTTGAATCATCATATGTAGTGACTCGGACTGTCGGAAGACAGTGTGTGTCGCCTTTGTTTGGAAAATGATGAAACAGCAGAGCATATACTTTGTGCCTGTCCCGCTGCGGACCGAATCAGGTTTTCAGAGTTTGGTAGAACCCCACTCCTACCATCTGACCTGAAACATCATTCACCATTATAAACTAATCGGCTTCGTCAAGAAGCTGAGTTTATTTGGTCGTGTGTGAGTTACAATAAACCCTTGCGGGTTGCGGTGGAGGGTCGAATAGTGCCACTCACTTTTGACCTTACCTAACCCTGATCGCGATAGACTTAAAAACCATCGAACGGATATCCATAAGAATTTCACTAATGGATGGAGGAAGGTTGATAGTTTATACAGAGCATTTTTTTAATGTTCCCCTCGTTTTATTTTTTGAATGGGTCAACTCAAAAAATTGAAATTTGGGATAATCAAATTAATGCATGAATACTTTATTTTGAAGTGAAATTGACAGATGAAACTTTCAAAATGGCGAGTGGGCGCCATCTGGGAAAAAAGTTAAATGGAAAGGGGGAGTTTGTGACACATCATTTTGAAGCTCCTGACGAATACTTCATAACCCTAGAAGTCCTCAATTTGAAGTAAATCACAACAACAAAAATGATACGCGAAGTATCTAATACAAGCCTTTATTTTTAACTGACTCTAAAACACAAAAACAGTTTTACATATAAAAAATGACCTTGAATCCGTACAAGTACCCAGGTACTTGTGCGTAATAAAATATAAGAACATATATTACAATAATATCAATATCTTCAACTACTACAAAATGGCGGAACTTTTAATAATTGCCTGAATACATAGAAATTTAACTACATAATATGAGGTGATAAGCTTGAGGTCAGTTGAGAAGAAGCTCCAAAGGTGTCATATCTAGCGAGCGGGCTGGCCATTCTGTAGGACCTCGACGGCCAATCCAACGACCGGGAAAAGTAGTATCCAAATAGTTTCTTATTTGTCTGGAGTAATATAGTGATGTTCCATCTTGTTGGAATACAATATCCATATCGAATTCGTTAGGATTCGCTTCGACGATTTCAGTGATGAGAGGGTCAACGTTTCGAGCATATTAAAATACAGTTCCCCTGTTAAATTTTGATCAATAAATAGAGGTCCTACAATATGATTTCCTAATATTCCTGTCCAAACGTTTTTTTCTGGATATTGTGTATGTGTTTCCCGGAAAACGTGAGGGTTGGCGTCACTCTGATAACGGCAATTTCCTCTGTGAACATTGCCGTTTAAAAAAATGTACATTCGTCACTAAAACTAATATTGTGGAGATAGGTAGGATGCCTTGCAATGGTTTCCGGCATGATTTCGCAGAATTCTGTTCTTCAGTTAATTGGTGTACCATTTTAATTTTGTATGGATGATACCTATTCCTCTTCAAAAGTCTCCACACTGTAGAAGGAGACAACTCACAAACATTCGCGACGGAATAAGTAGACTGTTCAGGATTTACTGCCATCTCATCAATTATTTGCACTTGCTGTTCCTCCGGAATGGACGAATGACCTGAGGGCTTTTTGTTATGTACACTACCGGTAGTTGTGAATTTAGATACAAGTTCCCTCAAATATTTTCCACAGATAGGACGATTCGGAAAACGTTCATTGAAAATCATTTCGGTCTCGTGAAAGTTACGCGTCGCACAGTAAAAAAAATCGCTTCAATGTTGACCTTTCTACTGGGCGCCAGATGGCGCCCAGTCGTCATCATGAAAGTTTCATCTGTCAGTTTCACTTCAAAATAAAGTATGCTTGCATTAATTTCATTATCCCAAATTTAAATTTTTTGAGTTGACCCGTTCGAAAAATAAAAGGGAGGGGACATTAAAGAAATGCACTGTATGTATAGTTAATCAATATTTTGTGTGGATTGGTGAAATATGACGATGTTATCTGTGATAAAAAAAACAATTCTCTACAATTTGTTCCTCTCCTATAAAAAAGTCCGCGATGGGGTAAATCTTTCAAGGATGGCTTACTTTAGCCATTTTGGTGTTTGAAATAATGTTCATGTATAAAAAATATTGTAATTGAGAATGTCTCTGGACGGATAAGATATGAATCGTTATCAAGTACGTTAGTTGCCTTTCCAGCACACTGACATTGCCTTTCATACCAAATAAATCAAAATGATTCCTTATGAATCAATAATATCGCACGAGAAAATGAACTGAAGTGTGTGATGAAGAATAATGCAATTGCGTTTTTACGTAGTGGATCATTTTGAAGGTTAAGATCGCATTGTATTGTTTTGCTATTGTTTTGCTATTTATTGCTGTCATTATTGCTGACATTGATTTGATATGAGACTGTGAGATAGTTGAAATAAAAAGATAAACTTCAAATTATGAGTGGTCTACGGTGGATAGCCCCACCCCTACAAAAAAGACCTTGAATGATCCACAACATTCCAGAACATTTCACGATATTGATGAATATTCTGGAATGTTCCTCAATGACCTGGGATGTTGCTGTTGCCCGACTATTCCCCAGCATTCGAGAATCTTCCGGTGTGTTCTGAAATGTTGTGCAATGATCTCGAATATTCTACAATATTATGGGATTTTTCATAAGTTTCTAGAGTGCGAAACGTCTTGCACTCACATCTTCGAAAGCACAACCTTAAGGTAAGGTTGTGCAATAACTCTCTTGATTAATCCATTATGATATGACATATTCCGGAATTGATATTTTCAACTGTTGAAAATTCTGAACCGCAGTTTGATGATGAATTGTACCCAGCTATACCCAATTGAAGAAGCTACCGTCTAGCAAAACGCAAATTCAAAAAAATTTATTGTAAAAATTCTATAATTTTCATCATGGATGAATTGTACCAGTTAATGAAGACCTGAAATAAATACTTCCAAATGTTCCAGAATGTTCCAACACTAGAATTTAATACAGGGCACACTTTCATATAATCACATAACAAATAACGGTTATGTGTGGGGTTTTGCACTATCCTACTGTCAGCGCGAACATTGAAGCAAACAATACTTGGAAGTAGGGCATGCTGCTTAGTTTTGTATAGAAGCTACATTTATCTTCACATTGCTACACGAAGTTGAAGTATTTCTTTCTTTCTAACACTGGTATGTATTATTCTTACTATCGTAACACTAGGTATAATAAAGTTGGAAAACATGATTGATATATCCTCTTCGTTGTCAACTACATGAAGTAGATGATGTCTTGATGGACATCTATGAAGACAACACTTTGACTGGTCCAACAAGCAATCAGCCATGTGAAGCTGCTGATATTGCCTAAATTATTCCAAAATTTAGTTCACATGTCTATCGAATTGTATACCTTCATTTCAATTTGTTTGTCAATTTTTTCGTTTTTATCAAAGATTGTGGTATTATTACTTCAAGTCTATTATTCTGCCTTGATTTACTCAATTTATTTTAATGTTTATATTATAATAGCCTATCGTTGTTGGTTTTTGCTCCCTTTTACTCATCAGTATTGTGTTCATCACTATTATTTATTATGAAGCACTCAACTTATGCTTTTTTGAATCTCAAATTTTTGCGATGTTTTTTCATTTATATTATTACTCCATACTATAATATTCTTTATGATCTGCATCATTTCAAAACATTCTGATTTCTACATAACATATATTTATAATTTATCTTATATTCAGTGAAATAACAGCAACTTCTGAATCTATTCAATTCAAATCTTGTTCTACTACTGTTCCTAATTTAATTTTTATTACATTTCTCAGGTTGAAAAAATTCTATACCCTGGATGTGAATAACTATTACCATTTTGATCCAACCATACATAAATATTGTTCTCTATCTATTATACATATCTTATGATGGAGCTTCTGTAAAATAGAGTATATGCAACATGGTGGCATATACTTTCTGGGTACAGATTACTTACTACCAGTTAAGATCATGGGGTAACATAAAGTTCAAAATATTTTGGGATCCTTAATGTGTGATGAGAAATAAATAACTTCAATAAAAATAAATGGAACTGTTCACAAGAAATACTTCAATGATTTCAATAACTCAGATTTTTCTCTGTGGCCAGTCGAATATTGAAACCTGAAAATCTCACTGAAAACTGTGTATAAGTCATTGTGCTCCAAAGCAGCTACACTACAATCACCCTCAAGACAAAAACGATTGTCACCTTTGATATTCAAAATGATCGTACTCTCACGTAGATCCAACCTTGAGTGGTACTAATCGATATATGTAAAACGATTTACGTCACTTCAAATAATAGCAGCAATAGAACTTACACTCACTTTAGAACGAATCGTTTATCGCGAAAACATTTGAACTGGTGTTCGACACGGAACACCAAACGCGGACGGAACGAAATTTTTGACGCGGTTATGTCAACACAAATATTTAGGAACGACTAAAAGCGAGCACGAGTTCCTCGGAGCATTCTGATTTTTTTCGCCATATGATTTGCATAATGACTTAGACGACTGTCCCACTCTAACTCAGATGACTTTGACGACGTTGCCAAGTCGGTGATGACGGAATCCGAACTACGTGAAACCCACTGTCAACACCTTCCATGGGTTGCCTGAGGAATTCGGAAAATAATGACAAGGACAGCTGATTGCATATCAAAATTCGGTCACACGAATACGTGGAGAACATTCAGAATGAAGACAAATAAACAAAGCAAGAGTGTGTTTCTGATTTGAAATCTACGAAAAGATAAAAATTAACTGAAATATTGGTGATATAAGGACAAAAATTTTCGAATGAGTCTGTTAAACAAAAAATATATATTGAAAAATGAGAGGAAGTGACGAGTGGAAATGAAATTTGAAAGTACAGGAAAGTTATTCTGCAAGGAGAAACTAAATATTTTGATCTGAAATGGAAATGGAGTAACAAATGGGTTGAAAATAAATTATTATGAAAATTTTAAATTTTGGCATTATCGCTCATCTTCGGATGATAAATGGCCTATTCCTAATACTTCGAGACTATTTAAGTCCACTTGGGTGCTTTTCCTCTTTCCTCCCTCTTCTCAAGTTTCAGGTTCGAAACATCATAGCAGTTTTTCGCTTGATTGAAGGTTTCCATTGATTGCGTATCTACACACTAGTCTGGTTGAATGTATCGTTGTTCAAAATGTTCAAACCGATTCATATTTTGAGTCTGATCAACCGATTAGGCTGTTCCCTACTTTTATGATTCTGTGAACTTCCTTTCAACTAGTATTTTGGTTTCTGTAGATGATTTCAGCTTCAGACCACCTTTTGTTAGTGGATCCATACCTGCTAGATTTTCCTTGCTGGGTGTTTTTTTGTGCTCACCAATATAGACTCTCAATGGCTTTTGGTTTCACCTTCCTCACATGATATTCGATAAAGACAATTTCTGAAGTCATTATCAGTGGTTGCTGGGTTTATTTTTGTTAGCTTCTCTGATAATCTCCTCACGCAAGAACAGGGTAGCATTGATTGTAAACACATTTTTTTGCTAGAATTTTATATGTTTCTGATCAGAGACTGTTATACTAGCAGGTATTTCTGGATGTGGCAAAAATCTTTGATGAGTTTGCCTTGTGGTATGGTATACATTCTATGTATATATTGGATATAACCAATGGAAGTGTCGATTCCGTCGGAGGTCTCCCGTCTTGCTTGAATAATTAGTTACCTGCTGGAAATATCATTTCTAGACAATATGATTAGCTCTGTTGGTAACATTGTTCCTGCTTGTTGAACATCGTCATTGGATAACTCTATGTTTGATCCAAGATACTTTCCAGATAAAACTGTTGATCAATAGGTTTTGCAGGTCGAAAGTATTTGTTTCCAGAGACAATGTACATTGAATTCTTCAGAAAGAACATGTTTTTCTTGACTGATTTGTTGAAAGTTGGAAACTGAACAAGTTTTGGATGGTTAAATTTCTGAAACTGGTGATCGGTCTAAGTGGAATATCTCTCTTGTGAATCTTCGTTAGTCCATGTACATGAGGGGGCTTGTTGTAGTGCGGTATCAACGATGATATCGGTCTAGCTAAAACGAAGATTATTCTTTAGTATTCTGCTCGTAAAGATCTGTATCCGTTAAAACGGTAGCATTCCTCTTGCCTGTAGATACATTTTAGATTGTTATCTCTTCATAGGCCATTTAGAGCCTTTCGTTCTTCATGACAAATGTTCCTCTGCTTCATTCTAATCAATGAATGAAATGGTAAACGACAGTAAACTTGTTTCGAATGCTCGAACATCAGTCCCCAATCTGGAGAAAATTTTGGATTGGAATAACAGAAACCAGATATAATTCAATTATTTGGAAACGCAGGCATAGGCTTTCTCTAAGGAGGTGAAAATGAAGGAATCAGACATCATAATGTCAGGGATTTCGCTAGATACGCTGATTAATATATTGGGTATGAAACTGATATTATATTTATAACTTCAGAAACAAACCACAGACAGACCTCAGCAATTTTTATTGTTCTATAAAGTTCTAATGGGACCTTCTTTGAAATATTGCTGACATATATGAAAAATTATCTCTGAGCATGCCCTAAAGCTGCTAGGTTCTATCCAAAAAACGGTCATCCTCCTTACTGGAGATCCAAACTCCACAAATAACCTTTATAGTTCGATGAAATGTTAGAAAATGAGTCAGTTCGCATGATTTAACCAAGAGCCAAATATCAGAAGTACGCAGCGAAATACAGCTATTAATTACTCCGAAGTTCAATTCAACACACTTCGAACTAAGTGTTTCAGGAACTTTTCCAATTGGAAAACGGAGTCTTCGTGAAATACACTTCCAGAGACAAATTTTTCCAAATAAATGTAATCTAAAGCGATTCATCCCATACTTCCCTGATTATTGCACAGGCAGTACAAGCTGATGCTAATATTTCTACAAATAGACATTGGGATGTCCTATCAAGATACTAGACACTTCTGCGTTTGTGTAAGATAAGAGTCCAAATTAAAGCCGCCAGACATACATTTTTTCAACAAAGCTGCTTTTGATGATGTATAGAGTCGTGAGTAATTGGAAATTAATACGTATATACAGATATCCAGAAATATGTTCTTGACGACTAGCATCAAGAATGTATAAGGACATTCCAATATTGCTACTATGCTTACTGCTAAATAAATAATATTGCTCCCGTGGGTTGGGCTACCTATCGGGTGCGTCCCCAGGTGGCGTATAGGGGAACGGCCAGGGGACTGGAGGCCCAGTTCGGGGAGCCAATGTGGCCTTACGGACGGGGTCGCGGGACTCCTGGTCAGTGGCAGAAATAAGTAGGGTGAGGGGAACTAAAACTCCCCAAATGCCATTGCAAAACATGCAACCGTGGACCAGCCTACCCAAACTGAGGTGTAAGGAATCGTGCCGACAGCGGAATGGCCGCAGGGTGATATGCGATACGAACGATCCTCTTGGGGAACTGGGCGAAACCTCATTGTAATCAGCCTACCTTTGGTAATGCGGGGCTATGCCAGAGGTAACCAACTCGGTTCTTGCTACTTGTGGGGACACACATGAATGAAACAGACACAAAAACAGAAACAACAAAAACAAAAACCAATAAGCTGGACAGAAGTGCTCACCTCAATCTAAGGCGATGGCTGGGAATGAACAGAAATATTCACCCCAATCTACCGCTTGGAATGAGGCTGGACATAGCAAAAGGAGGTCATAACAAAAGGAGGTCAAAAGGAGAAAGAGAGTGAAAGAGGCAGGAGTGGCAGCAACTATAAGTGCATCCTCTTCCTCCCCCACTCCACCTCCAACAGCAAGAGCACTTCCTGCGGCAGGCGCCAAGAGTTACGCCTTGAATAAAGGAGAAGAATCGGCTGCTTCTGCAGGAAAGCTCCCTCACTTGTACACCTCCACGGAGGGAACCCCAAGTAGGTTGAAGAAGCCGCAGTAATGTCGCTGCACCTTCCAAAATCTTCGCGGAGGCCACCGTGAGACACCTAAAGGTTGCCAAAGAGAGTGTGTGTTCGGTGAGTCTTGGCCTACATCTGCCAATATAAAGAAGATGTCTCCTAGTGACATGTCCACCTTCCTGGAAAGGAGGGGTTGGACGATGACCTAGGAGGACAACTCCTCGGGAGGATGTACAATGGGTCACATGTGGCCTAAGTGCTGTGGGTCTACACTCACCCAGTCACCCCACTACACTCATATAGATCATTTCTGATGCAAAATTATATCTGACCTCCATAATGGGCAATAGTACGAGATTATAGTAGTGAATTGGCGCAGCGATTAATTGCCCTGAGACTTTGAAACCAACGAGATATTTTTCTCGTGAAAATTGATCTAGAACAACAGCTATAATAGTCAATGCCGTTACACCGAAAAAAAAACAGATAGTTAAGAAAATAAAGAAGCAAAGGATCATTTTTTGGTGGAACACCTTTTTTACGTTTCCACTTCTCCATCAACGTGTAAAAATGGTGTAACTGAAAAAAGGAAATTCAATTTCTGCCAGTTTCTCAATTTTGCTGACAATAAGTTCAAACAAGGCAAACAAGGCATTTGAATAATTACATCTTGAAACTAATGTTGAAAGAATTGATGCACCTTTGCTGAAAGGTTGTGATTATGACAAATACTTCAACAAGTACTGTTATAGATTCAATCACTTCCAATGATTCCTTTCGGGTCTCAAGGTAGTGATACTATATTTGGTAGCAAACACGGTGAATAGAATTCGAATCACGTTGTATGAATAGTACAATTATAACTGAGGCTAATCAAGTTTACTAGTAAATATCAACAAGCGAAAATGAATACAATTTATATGTTTACCGACAGAATGAATCCTTTCACACAAGTCACTGGCAACTGAGAACAAATACATATTAATAAAAAGGAACACGTACATAGATACGTTTATGAAATAAAACCATAATTTTCAAGAACGGTTAAAAGGTAAAGCAAATCACCTCGAAAGGTGTATGCCTATCAGTATTCAAACTATCAACTGAGAGTTTTACATGATGAGATTTTTAATATTTTTCTACAGAATGGAACAATATTTAAAAATTCATTAAATCACTGTTATTTCTCATTTTCTTGTGTATTATTTCTTACAAGTAACGGTTTTAACAAGTTCTCTGTACGTCACTGTGTGAATCAGGGGTTTCATTTATCTAGTGATACGATCATAATGCATAATAGCAATGTGCGAGATCTTTTATGGATCGATAGTAATAACTTCGAAGGTTGGGTGACAAATTGTGCTTTCTATTACTGTCGATAATCATCATATGGGAATGAAATGTTTGAAAACAAATAGTCAACATGACACATCGAATTGTAACTTTTGGCGTAAAATTAATCCACCTTGAACACTGATGATGCTCACGTGATTGGCAAAACGTTCTGGCGTGTGAGAAAAGTGATTTCATCAAAAGT